GGAATCGCAGGGCCGTAGGTTTGATTCCTACCAGAGGACCTTGTGCTGCATTTTTCGCAGTCGTTCCTGGTTAGGTCTTAAAATGTATATATTCTCACTTGGATTACAAAACCTAACATCCTAATATTAATTCCACCAAGTGAAGTGCAGAACTAAGTTATTCAAGTCCACCTTTACAGATTACGCTGTTATTTCGTTTGGATAGTTTTTACGTTTACACTACTTACCGGAGGACCTATAATTCCATTCGGTCCTGGGTTGCCAGGCGGTCCAGGATCACCCTAGAAGGAATGGAAAACATTTCACAGTTTACAGTCGGCAGCCGAGCCAGCTGAGCGGCTATTTTCAAATGATCATGCCAAGTGTGTTTGAATGTTGGCTATTTTAAAGAAGTCTGAAATTATACAGAGCTCTATTTCAGAACCATCCTCAGATATATGAAAAACTAGTTGCATTATATTCTGACACGGCAGAGTTCAACGAAAAACTCGTTGTCGAACATCTTTGGGTTGCTAGACTGCGGTCGCTCTACCCAATGAGCTATCCAGTCAACGGGGATTGGTAGCGAGTCTGATCCAATTTCAGTGCACGAAATATTTTCGTAACGATTTAAGGAGTGCTTTTATTACATTTGAAAAGATGCGAGTTTGAATCTGGAAACAACGAATTTTTCGTTCTTCCTTCTCTGCAGTGTCAGAATAAGCATGATATTACACAAAAATGGTACCAGATTATTCAATTTGGCAAAGTTATCGATCGGATAATTGCAATAGGATATTCTTACCGGTATCCCTCGCAACCCTGGAGGTCCCCACATTCCAGGATGTCCCGGCGGTCCCTAAATAGAATAGATTGCGTCAAAGTACGGCAATTTACTCGTAGAACGAAAGATATTCGATAACATTCTCCTACTCACCGGAGAACCTTTTCTGCCTTTCAACCCAATAGGGCCTGGATCAGGCTATGGAAATATTTGAAGAAAGCAAGTCGTTGAAAATTATAACAAAGGTAAGTGATAATATATATACAGTATACTGTAGTAACACTGAATCAATAAGGGATGATCCTTACTGCGCCACTAGGGAGAACAGTTTAGAACTGATAGAGCAATCTAGTATAAATAAAGTTAGTTTAGTTTAGGTTTCCTTCTGTAGTAACACTGGATCAATAAGGGATGATTCTTACTGGATCTCTAGGGAGAACAGTTTATCCAGTATCAATAAAGTTAGTTCAGATACGCTCGTACAGAACGCAGTAAAATATGTAATACTGCGCCCTGGTTTAAATGATGTTTGCACGTGCGTCGCTTGTGAAAATCCAACTTTAATAAATCAAATATGTTTCAATAACATCTTACTTGTACAACGACGGAACGGAACGTCACATGACTGGTTGTCGGAGCCTGGGTTCTACTTGGGAAGGGAGAAAGTCCAGCAGAAATATAGATAGGTGATGACACAACTTGAAACTTTGACGGAATCTTTTCAGAAATGAAAAAGTATAAATTACAAATCACCTTTGATCCAAACGAGAAACGTAAACGAAAACGAGGATCCATAGTCTGGGCACGAAATAACGGCAGGTCAATGGACTAATTAAGGGGTATACTTTACTAGGCGCCCAGAAATTCGGTATGTCCGACGTAAAATTGACTTGGCCGGTCACATTGATCGGCCACCCAGGTGACCGGCCACCCTCCAGCCGTTATTTCGCGCCCTGATAGTCAAGGCGTACTGTACTTTCTGGACAGAATGGTGTATTTGGCACACTAAAACTTTGTTATCTATCCAATGCGTACAATATTTTCTAATACTTACTTGTCTTGTCAATACTTCGGGGTGTATCGTTGTTTGTACACTGGCAGTAAATTGCAACATGGGTGTGCCAAGCGGTTCGATACTTCCGGTTGGGCATTTCCATCACCTATAGTTGGAGCAGGCTGCAACATTGGTGTGCTAAGTGGTTTGATACTCGTATCCAAATTGTTTGCACTGATGTTCCTCTCCTAGTAATAAAAACAATGCATCAAAAAATAAACATCTTTGCTTAATGGGTTTTATATCATAATGGTATTGCATTAGATTCAGTACAATAATAAATTAAAGTTGGGGAAATTAAGGCATATTGGGACGTTTCATCCATAAAAGCAAAACACTTTCCACCTGCTGACAATTTATCAAAAGCGCTTTATTAATCTCAAGGGTGGGTTGTAGCGAGGTAGTTTTAGTTCGCTACTGTAGCGAACTACAATTTTCAAGTAGCCAGTAGTTTTTGACTACTTTTTTAAAACAGTAGCTGTAGTTATAGCGAACTACATTTTGCCTAAAAGTAGCCAAGTAGTTGACTACTTTTAAAACAGCGAATCGCTATTCGCTACTTTTTAAAATTGTTAGCAACTTGATAGAATAGCATGATATTGAGACACGGTTTGCTTAAAATCAATACTCAATAGTCAATTTGCACTCCTGAACACTGTAGTGCTTACAAACATGTTGCTTTGTGTTTACTGTTGCTACTCGTAAGTCGATTTGTTATAGGTTACATTACAGCCTGAGTTAGTAGGTGCTCCAAATATAGTAAAACTAAAAAATATAGTGTAGCGAAATAGCGAAATAGTTCGCTACATTTTTTAAGCAGTAGCTGTAGTCAGTAACGAACTACTTTTGTTCAAAAGTAGCAGTAGTTGTAGCTGACTACATATTCTTGAAGTAGCTGTAGTTATAGCGAACTACAAAAATTTTGTAGTCAACCCACCCTTGATTAATCTGTATCACTCTGTGGTTCCTGGAAGGGATTTTTGCATATATAATAGGCAATTCCAGCTTTTAGTTTATGCGTGCAGGGGACGATGGGAAGTAATGTATCACATTGCTGATTATGCTGAAAAAATAAAAATGTGGCTGTGTAAACACGGATAGCTTATACTTGTAAATATTGAAATATTTCGGTTGTTTCGGTAGTTTTTATTGAAATTTTTCAGCAAAATCGGCAATATGATACCTTACTTCCTATCATCCCCTGCAGGCATAAACTAAAAGCTGGAATTGCCTATTAGGCTTCACCTTTGACACATATAGAAGCTATATATCCAGTCTACTATTAGATCAGTGCAGCTTGATGAGTGAGATCTTGCATTGACTTGAGCATGGAAAAGTGAGTGTGCAAAGCTTGTTGCATAACACAAAAAGTTACAATACCCTGTTTGGAAAATGGCCAACATCTAGACATTTGGGAAAGACATGAGAACAAAACTCCTTAGCTGCTGATTTCTTAGTAGAGAATAGAAGTTGACATATCCCCTAAAAGCAAAATTATTATCATATAATCATCATCATCACAACTATCACAACCATCACCACCATCATCATAACCACCACCACCATCATCACTACCACCATTTCCACCATCACCATCATTATTATCATCATTATCACCATCATCATCACAACCATCATCATCACAACCATCATCATCATCATCACAATCACCATCATCATAACCACCATCGTCATAACCACCACCACCATCATCACTACCACCATTTCCACCATCATTATCACCATCATCATCACCATTACCATCATCACCATTATCATCATCATCATCACCATCACCATCACCATCATCATCATCATCATCATCATCATCGTCATCATCATCACCATCATCATCATCATCACCATCATCATCACCATCATCATCACCACCACCATCATCATCATCATCATCATCA